GACCACTTATTGACTGTGTTCATTTAGTGACTAGTATAGGCCTCTGGCATTTCTAATGTATAACTGCAGAGATAAAACATAAATGTATAAAAAGTATTAGCTCTGTAGAGTAGGGGTTTTATCATATCTTAATGCTCCCTTGTATCACTCCATGCTGCTTAGCACAGTGCTAAATATGGTAAGAGCTTGTAAGTGCTTTGTGAATTTGAGTAAGAGTAAAACATAATTATATTTTGGAATTTATGCATTCCTTTTGATGAGTGCAACCATACAAATGAATGTATAAGAAGGTTTGGGAAAGATGACTATAAGAATAATGAGTTGATTTGTTTAGACATGATTAAAGACTATTTTTAGTTCCTTAAGGACTGTTTTTCTTTTTGAGATGATTAAGATCTCTTTTAAGGCTTATTACTTTTTCTAATTGGAAAGATATACATCCTTGGTAGAAAATTTGGAAAAAAAAAATCCGCATGCTTTTCTGCCATACAGATAATTACTTTTAACATTTTATTTCCTGCCAGATTTTTCATTGGGCAGTTTTTGCCTTTTTCCCTTAGTAACAGAATTTTAACCCTATTCTTTTCACTTAACAAAAACTTTTATATTATCAATTCTTTTTAAATATCACTTTAATAGTTTGTGTTACTGCCCATAAGAGCTCCTTAATTGAAAAGCATGAAAAATTGATTGGTAAAATGCCTGATGTTTCTCTACATACTTACTCCTGATACTGCTAGATGTTACAGGCAGTGACAGGCTGACCACCCTTTTGCTTTATATTAGATTTGAAGATATCTAGGGATGGGCTAAATAGTAAAGTTGTTGAATACCATGAATATATAAATAGATGATATATGTATTTAGATAATATATATATTTATATATGATACATATACATAAGTTGATATTGTAAATCTCTGCATTTTCTTGAAGTGTAATCCAGACTATTTTTTGGACAATGAAAAATGGTAATCTTGGAACTTAAAATTTTGAACTATGTAGACTCTCTTGTTTTTGTGTATCTTACTAAAGTAGTCCTGTTGAACCAGTGAACTGTCTACATCAATTACAAGAAAAGTATGAATTCTTATATTTTTTAATCAATTTATGTACTTCAATTTTAAGAGAAACTTCTATCTAGTCATGTATTCTGGCTGAATAATGAGGAACTGAAGTGATATGTTCTTTGGAAACTTTCCTGCATTATGTTGTGTTACTTTCTAGATGTTGTATTAGGAGGAAGAAACAGAAAAGAATATATTTTGCCCTCAGAAAAGTTAGTTTGTAAAAGAGTGCTAGTTTCATTTATTTCCTACCCGAGTAGTTTCTTAGGAGGATATTTTGTGATGCTAATTTGTTTTTAAGAAAAGAAAATGGTTGTGTTTCGTGATTTTGAAAAAACATTTTTATTTTGTATACTACCTTGTTCACCATCTCATTCATATTCCATAATTCAAGATATATTCTGTATCATCAGTAAGTGAATTGCATGCTACCATACCTTCTGGCAAAATATGAGCACATTATAGATATTTTCCATAGCTAATGGCCTCTGTGTCTTCTTGATTTTGACCTCTAGGCTAGTGGTACACATTTGGGGGATGTCTCCTGTGATTGAGAAACACTAGGGCATTACATGTGCTTGGTACTATGAAAAGACATTTATGAGTGTTGCTTCCATGAAACACAGATAGAAATGGGACTCAAATCTAGGTGTACTGATTTCTGCTTCTGTAGTTCTTCTAGGAAACCAGAAGCGGACTTACAGTAGCTGTTACTAATGACAATTACAGTTAACATCTTTTGAAAGCTTACTGTGTATTCAAGCACTGTGCTCTGTGTTTCCCCTATTGTGTTCTCTAATAATCATATAATCCATAAGGTTGGCACTGTTGTTATCCCCATTTTACAGATGAGGAAATTGAGACTTAGGTCAAGTAGTTTGTTCAAAGCAGTGTTCAAAGACTAGTATTACCTTAACTGCAGTGACTGACACTTTGGGTGCTGGCTTGGTTGATTAAGTGCCCTTAAATAAATAGAAGAAACGAGCTGCTGTTTGGGGAACAATCTTACAGCTCTATATCCAGCATCTACTCTGTGATATGACCCAGTCTGTCATGAAAGTGCTCACCGGCTTTTTAGAGGAAGCTATATACTTGGTACCTATGAATAAAAACTAGGTCATAAATTTGCATCAGATGAATTATAGGGTCAGTAAATGCCATTAATGTTGCATTATTGGAAGGATCACTTTGTAAAAGATGGTCAGGAAAAGTTTTTTAGAATTTCTGGTTTTATGTAGGCAGGAAGCATATTAAGGGCAGGAAGGCACCATATTAGCAAAGGTAAAACAGCATAAGAGCTGTTATGAGATATTGATTCTAGACAAACAAGAGCATAATGGCAGCAAGTCAGAATATGGGAGCTGGATTATAAAGAGCCTTGAATTCCAGACAAAGGAGTTTGGACCTTATTCTCAGGTTCTGGGAAGCAATGGAAAGTTTAGGAGGAACTGTTGATAAACAATGAGTAGTGTCTAGATTTCCCAATACCTGCCTTGAATATTATTTTCTTTCCATGACTAGGTCTAGAAGCGTCAGTACCTGCTCTGGAACTCTACCTATCAAAAATAGTAAGGAAAGGAAAAATTAATGCAGCAAGAAATAACCCTTAGAAGCTGTGAGGTTTTTTTTTTTCTTTTAATTATCTTACTCATTCACAGAAATCAGGCAAATCAGTAAGTTCTCCAGAGAAATAATTTCAGAGAATGTATTAATTTTGAATCTTGTCCTTCCTATATCTCATTCTGAAATCTTGAATGTGCTAACTCCTTATCATAACAGGGCAATGTTTATTGTATCTGGTTCGAGTGCCTTGGTCACCCGCCCTGGATGAAAAGCATTCCCACGGTATTTTTCAGGCTTTTCTTGTCTTTTCAAAGGTCACTCTATTTATTCTGTCCTACTTTATACCAGTCATGTGGCAGAACTGAGGCCTGCTAGCACTGTGAACTGGCTTTGTGCAGATCCTGAGGTAACTGCTTCTGTTCCACTTATCACTGATGACTTTCTTCTGGGCAGTCACCCTTTTATGTCTTTCATAACCACATTTGCTTTGCGTATGCTGTTGGGCAGCAACGTTAGGCAGCAAATTAAAATTAGTAAATTGCTGCTTAAAATAAAGTTGCTGGCTTTGTAAAAATAGCACTTTTACAGTTTGACAAATATTTGTTTTTATTTCATGCCACACTCAACATCTCTCATAATTATATAGATGATTCTTATTCAAGTATGATAAAGCACCCTCTAACATTTTAATGCACAGCAGAATATCTGGCTGAATTTGCTTATGCCAATTAGTGTATATAGGATGAAAACAGTTTTATTCAAAAGGCTAGAATTAATGGAATCCTCTTACTACACCCCAGATCCTCTTACTACAGTCAAAATCAAATTATTGCCTCTGAAAATAAGAGTTTGGAATCTTTCTTCCTGCTGCCTTCCTGCCTCCTTCGTTTCTCCCTCCCTCCCTTCTTTCTTTCCTGTCTACATTTTGAGTTACCCTTTGAAACAATTCTAATTTACTTTATGAAGATGATGATAATGTTTTAAGCCAATCTGGGGCAGCTATTTAGTATATAATAGGTGGTTGTGTTGGGGGGTGAGAGGGTGCAAGGTAGGTGCTCTGAAAAACTAGGAAAAGCATGAGAATTAAGTTCATAGGTTCCTTTGGACATTCCAGAATCTTGAAAAGTAAGAATGAAATGACATAAGGGGTAACTGTCTGAAATATATAAAGATCTCATACAACTCAATACCAAATAAACAGTCTGATTAAAAAATAGAGTACCTGAATAGACATTTTTCCAAAGAAAAAATGCAGATGGCGAACAGGGACATGAAAAGATGTCAATATCACTAATCATCAGGGAAATGCAAATCAAAGCCACAGTGAGATACCACCCCACACCTTTTAGAGTGACCACTATCCAAAAGACATGAAATAACAAGTGTTGGTGAGAATGTGGAGAAAAGGGAACCCTCCTGCACTGTTGGTGGGAATATAAATTGGTGCAAGGGCAACCACTACAGAAAACAGTATGTAGGTACCTCAATAAATTAAAAATAGAAAATACCAAATGACCCAATAATTCCACTTCCAGGTATTTACATGAAGAAAAAATCACTAATTCAGAAAGATATGTTCACTTCTACATTTATTGAAGCATTGTTTACAGTAGCCAAGATATGGAAGCAACCCAAGTGTCCATCAATAGATAAATAGATAAAGATGTGGTACATATATACAATGTACTCAGACATAAAAAAGAATGAAATCTTTCTATTTATGATGACACAGATAAACGACACAGTATGTTAAGTGAAATAAGTTAAAGACATACTATATAATTTCACTTATGTAATCTGAAAAAATAAGCAGAATTAGAGTTATAAAAACAAAGAACAAACTAGTGGTTGCCATAGGGGAGAGAATGGAGGGTGGTTGAAGTAAATGAAAGGGGTAAAGAGGGAATTTTCAGTTATGAAATAAATCCCAGAGATGAAAGTAATAAGTATATCATAGGGAATATAATCAATAATACTGTAATATTAATATCTCTTCCTGGTGACACTTACTTGTCAGACATTTCATAATGTATATAATTTTCATTATGTTGTTCACCTGAAACTAATACACTGTATATCAACTATATTTCAATTTTTAAAAAACTTGACTTAATGTAAAAGTTTATAATTTTATGTAAAGGCAAAAATTAGATACAGTTCTTCCAATATCATGGTTAACTTACAGCCAGAATTTAATAGAAAATGAGATAAGAATTGAATCTAATAACTCCTTGATGTACCATGTATAGTACCTCTCTGCTGTGTTACTGTGATAACCAAATGATTTTTTCCCACCCCTGAGTTCTGATTTCTAAGTGGTACTGCTCTTGTCTCCTGACACCTTGTAAATTTGCTGCTTACTTTCTGTAGGCGCACCTATGTTGGCAGTATGCCTGGACGTATAATCAATGGCTTGAAGACAGTTGGGGTTAACAATCCAGTGTTCCTATTGGATGAGGTTGACAAACTAGGAAAAAGTCTACAAGGTGATCCTGCAGCAGCTCTGCTTGAGGTAATATTTAGAAAATTCCTTGTCTATAATCATACTTGAAGAGTATAGATGAAAATAGATAGTCATATGAAGTAGTATGTACATTGATGTGGGTTTAGTCATGGGAAAAAGTTTGATACAGACTAAAATATGAAGCAATTTAAAATTTAAATTGAAATGTCTTAGAGATTTATTTTTCTAGTAATTCTCATTTCTTTTTGTTGTTGTTGTCAGTTATATGCATGTTTATTGTTTAGAGACAAGTAATTCTGTAAAATCATTAGTAAAAAACAGCAAGAAAGTCTCCTCCCTGGGGTTCCCTATTTCTTGTTCTCCACTTTGACCTCTTTAAATTTAAGTTGAGTAGTTCTTTGTCAAAATTGCTCCTTCTTGATTTTATGGTTTTTGGCATTATCTATTGATTCCCCACTATAGAAGATGAGAATTTTGCTTGCTTTCTTCCCTCTGCCCCTACTGTATCATTTTTATACCCCTAATCTCCCAACATAAATTTTGTCCTGATTTGAAGTCATTATTGAATATTTACCTTATTATTATATAAGTGCTTTTCACAGATGAGCCATATGGTCAACTGTGATTACTTCTCTTTTCCTGTCTTCCTTTTTGTTTTTCTGAACATGTTTTTAAAAATCTTTTTAGAGTTAATAATTGTCTTGTTTCTTTTGTTTACTTTCAGTTGTCCAGTTCTCCTTTTAAGACTTTAAGATACTGGGTGTTCTGTCAGTTTTATTTTTTTTTTTAATTATT